TTAGCCAGAGTACACAAGGTAATGGAGCAGTGTAGAAAGTAGGCTTGCAGCCACTGCTGTACTTGGAGGCTAAGTTGTCATTTGGACATTTTAGGTCTAGAATAAAAGAGGTTTTGTCAGCCGTTTTCTTTTTTCTTTTTTTTTTAATTTTGTAATTATATTTATGTACCGAAAACTTAAGTGTACATTATTTTTTAACCCAGTTTAGTGGCGAGTTCTTTAGCCTTTGCTTTTTCCAGCTTGGCAATTCGGGCCACAGACTTAGGACCCAGGACGTTGCCTCCCCAGTGGCGGCAGATCTCGTCATATCTGTCATTATAATTGGTCCTAATAGCTTCCACCAGCTTAGCCAGAGCACCCTTGTCTTCTCAGTTAACCTGTGTGAAGGCAACAGTGGTGAATTTCTTCCTGTGGACCAGGCGACCCAGCCTGGCCTTTCCCTTGATGATGCAGTAGGGCACACCCATCTTTCTGCACAGGGCAGGCAGGAAAACCACCAGCTCAATGGGATCTACATCATGGGCAATCACCACCAGCTGAGCCTTCTTGTTCTCCACCAAGGTGGTGACTGTATTGACTCCTGCTTGGAGGACAGGTGGTCTCTTAGTTGGGACATCTCCTTTGCCAGCAGCTTTCTTTTCAGCACGGGCCAGTAGCCTTTGCTTCTTCTCTTACTTTGTCTCTGGCCTGTACTTGTGGGCAAGCTTAAGCAGCTGAGTAGCTGTTTGCCTGTCCAGGGCCTGGGTGAACTGGTTAATGGCAGGAGATACTTTGAGTCACTTATAGAGGATGGTTCTTTGCTGCTGCAGCCTGATGTATCAGGACCATTTAATGAAGTGTGTTAGATCTCTTTTGGGCTGGATGTCCTGCCCAATGCTGAAGTTCTTGGGCCTTTTCTCGAACAGAGGATTGACCACCTTTTTGGCCTCCTGTTTCTTGACGACAGCAGGGGCCGGGGCCACCTTCTTCCCCTTGGCCTTCTTTCCTTTGGGCATCTTGCTCAGCTGGAAGAGAGAGCGTCAGCCGTTTTCAAAAATCATTGCCATTGGGTTTGCATGTAGGGGTCTAGCACTCACAGCAGCAGGGAGAAAACTGTTGGTGTCACAGTGCACCTGTCTCATGGGTCAGGAGACTGAGTATGAGTAGGTTACAGCTCAAATCCAGGTCTTTCTTCAAAGGTCCTGTATTTCATTAATGAGCTCATAAACTTAGCTACCCCATGTGGTTCTCCGACTTTACTTTAAAGGAGTTCTGGGAAGCCCAAGAAGGTTCTTCAGGGAAGAGGACCAAGCAGACTCATATTCCAGTTGATACTGTGAAGACTATAATTAGATGCTTATAGCAGCTGTTATTATAATTGCCAAATTTTACAGTTGACCAAGATACCTTCAGTAATGGTGTAGATCAGAAAACTGTGGCTTAACTTATTAATGGAGTATTACATGATGCTGAAAAAATATGAGTTTTTAAAGACAAACAGGACTATGCCATTTCCAAGAAGATGGTTGGAATGTAAAATTATACTATTGTACTCAAGATGCAGAAAGGCAAATATTATACATTTTTCTATCATGTAGGGTCTAGATTTCTTTAAACTATTTGGGATGGTGTACATGAGGAGGAGGGATAAAAGAGGATAATGGCAAATGGATATTACCGAAGTTCATTCACATACATGTGTAAAAACGTCATAATGAAATCCATTACTGCAGAGTGAGCACACACTATAGGGAAGTAGGAAGGTTTTCTTCAATGAAAGGACATTTAAGGAAACAACTGCTTGTCACTAAGTAAAAGAAGCAAAGTGAAAGCCTGTGCCCTTAGAGAATATGTTTGCGGTTCAGAGATATCAGAAATCTATACTGCAGCTTAATTTTGAAAGGCAGTTTCCCTCTCCCTCTCCCTCCCCCTCTCCCTCTCCCTCTCCCCCTCCCCCTCCCCTCCCCCTCCCCTTCCCCTCCCATCTCCCCTCCCCTCCCCCTCCCCACCCTCTCTTTCTTCTGCTCCCTCTACCCCCTTTCCTCCCCTCTTCCCCTTTTCAGTTTGACCAGGCTAACCTCATACCCAGCCTGACTCTGCTTCAGGAATGCTTTATTTCAATAATTATAGGTTTGCATCACTATACCTGACAAAACAAAAGCTCCCGGAATTTCAAGATTTGAAATTTTGTAGCATTTCATATTTGTCAATCCTGATGTATGTGCCTGTTTATGTTAAAAGATATGCTTTTATATGTGCAAATGTATAGATGCCCTTGTGTATTTTGAGTGAGCTTTTGTATGGTACAATCATGGGGCTTCTATTAACCGTAAGATAGATACCACCCCTCATTCCCACAGACAGCAAAGCACTAAGATGATGGAGATGGTGCCTAGGTCACGGAGCTGCCAACCTCTGAGCTGACTGCCTCATGCTGTCCCTTACTAGTCAGTCGGATGCCTGTTTCCAGGATTCCTGATGAGCCTTCACTGAGTCACCATTGTGAAACACTCTCTTGCAGAAGTGGGTAGCTTGCATTGACAAGCTGGCCTGTTTCCTGAGGGCAATTACTGAGCAGTGTGCTTACTGTGCACACCTCTCTGAAGCCTGTCCCAGTCACCTTGTTTGTAAACAGTGATCCCCTATCTCTGAGTGCATCTGCCTGGAAGAGACTCATTTGGCAGACAGTTAAAGTCTAGCAGCTTTAGCTCCGAATCTTGGATTAATATCCTCTCTGCTGATACGTCTCACTAGTATGTGAGTACCCTTGAGACTAGCACTTTTGTCAGGAATGGAGTGGTTAGGTCTAGAATCCTTCTGAGAGACTTCCTTAGATGTTCCCTAGGTCTTCTTGAGGTGAAATCTCAGAAGGAGGCTCTGGAGCCCCTGTCGCATCCTCAAGGTGCAGTGAAGAGACCAAACTTGGAGCCTCCACCTCCTTGCTTTGCTCTGGGATTACTCACCATCCGGACCAGTGATTTCTCGGCGATTCCCATGTATTTATGAATGTAGATTTGTCTTCATGGGCATGGTTCTTTCCTAAGTGGAATTTGGGCTGATGGGGACAGAATATTAGAAACAGAATAGGTTTTCATCTTTATCAAAACTAAAAGCAGAACAACCTACCAAGAAGGGTGAAGTGCTCCACCAGTGTGCAGTTCATATGGTTCAGTCTGCTGGGACCACCATGCTGTTTCCCAGAGGTGTCTTGTTAAGGACTCAGCGAAGTGATTATTATGTGTGTGTTTACTTGTATCTCAGCATAAGGTTTATGTTTTATAAGGATTACTGTTTTAATCAAACTGGAAGGATTACCCATTCTTTCTGGTAGAAATGAATGTGAGTCGCCCCTGTATTCTGTAAGTGACCTAACATGTCTGAACAGAGTTTGATGTAACCAGACACAGAAGGGCACTTGGAGGTTAGGGTTGGTTTTCCAGAGACATGAAGCAAACTCCTCTGGTACAGCTTCTGCCAGTTTCTGTTTACTTTGGCAGGTGGAATAAAGACCTTTTAAGTTTTCAAATTGATACACAGTGTGCATAGCATCTAGTAACTATCCATGTGTTCTATTCAAGTATTATATAAATGTGTTATTTTCCAGGCGGGGAACATTGGGTCTTTGCTTCATATGCCCAGTCTACTTGCTGGAGCTATTTCCATTACAATCTTACTCTGACAGGATGACAGAGCTAGGGGCCCAGTGGCAGTGTCTTTGCTTCTCTGGGTGGAGGGAAATGGCGTTTTTTCACATTCTGGTTTCTCTCCTAATCATGTGCTCTCAGTAGCTCTGTCTCTCATAGGCTATTCTTCTTATGGTCGTACTCTGTGCATATAAGGCAGGCAGTGAGTACAGAGTTTAGCCTGTCATAGCCAGTTCCCTGGATCATGCCCAGGAGGAGTCTATTAGGGAAGGAGCACAGTGGTGCAAGGCTATGCAGATCTGTGTTCTAGACATGGCTTTCCCTAGTTTGCCAAGGGTTGGCTGATTGTCTGTAGTGAGGATGAAGTTACAGACATGTCTCTGACATCAGATACATCAGAGAGCTCTGTAGAGTTTGCACTTCAGGAAAGCAAACCTCTTTCATTATCATATCACTACCAGGGTCTGGGCTTGATGAAACCCTGATTCTTTTCCAGATCTCTAAGCCCAGGTTTTCTCAGTTGTTGGCACCTTACTAAACATAATTAATAAGGATTCGCATGAAAAATGAGTTATAGCAGAAATCGGAATCTGAGTATTGCCTCATGGAAAAGAGAAGTTGCCTTTAAATACTGCACATTGGTTTCCTTTACCTGCAAGCCCATTGGAAGCATGTACACAGGTGTAGAAAGAGCCTTCACATCACTTACAGGTTTGTCTTCAGTTTTCACTCTTATGGACAGCTTTGCCATCTAGAGGCTCCAGCTAGACACATTCTGCTTTGTTTAATAATGAAGCACTATAAAGTAAGAAGTTTTAAATGCTCACATTAATATTTGGTTCAATTGGTTGAGTTAGCTGTTCAGATTTTCTGCAAGCTAATGATGGACTTAGTATGTGTGTGTTATATTAGGGCTCAAACCCATGGTTCTGTGCATGGTAAGCAGATGTACTATCATTGAATTAAAACCTCATCCATTTTTGAGATAGTCTCAGTCTGGCCTTGAATGAATAACTATGCCATAAGTCTTGAAGTCATGATCTTATGCCTGATTTCTGGTATTACAGTTACCTACTACCATATCTGACCAAGGCTGACTTTTTTAAACTCTGTCTCCAGAGTAATATGAAATAGTTCAGAACTCTGTTTTCTTTGCTCAGCTAATTTGATAGTATTCTATCCGGATTATATCATCCTTATATATTAAGGTAAGAATGTTAAAAATTGGTTTATACCTGACAGTTTTTCCCAAGGCTGCTTGAATTCATTTAAAATCTTATGCTTCTTCACAGACTAGGAATAACTTGTGTATGTTTCTTTACATTTGAGATGCGTGTCTCATGCATGTGTCTTGTGTCTCCTTCTCTCCATTTCCAGGCCTTCTGCCTTATCTAGTAGCCCGACGTATCCAGACTTGCCCTTCATTAGGATCTCGCCACACCGGAACCCCACTGCAGCTTCAGAGTCCCCCTTCAGCCCGCCACACCCCTACATCAACCCATATATGGACTACATCCGCTCATTACACAGCAGCCCGTCCCTCTCCATGATCTCAGCTGCCCGAGGGCTGAGCCCTACAGACGGTAAGTCTCACACACTTTCCTATTTCCCTTGTGACACTGTATAAAGCAAATCGAGCCTATGGTAAGTTTTTCCCACATGACAGACACTGTGGCAAGTGCTTTAAGTTCAGAATTTAATTCCAGCTTATAGCACTGCTTTGTGGGTAATGCTGTCCATATTTTTGGTAAGAATAGCAGTTTAGAAATGAATTAAATTTAGAGAGTAATCAAGTTGGGATTCAAAGCAAGATCTGACTGCCTCACCTCACTGTAAATGCCCTCCTCTTCTGCACTCCACACATGATCAGACAAGCCCTTCAGGTATTCCCATGCCAGTATGAATTCCCTGAGTGCCTTGCCCATCTTCTAATGAGTGCTCTTATGTTCTGTACATCGGAAAGATACATTTACATAGATGTGTCTCTGAGAACAGAGCTCGATGCACTGCTGTGTCTGGGGCTCCTGATAAAACTGATAGCTCTTGGGGCAGAACAGTGTGGAGTGGGGGACCCAAGTCTTTAATCTGATAAAAGCTTCCAGGTGATGTTAATGCTGTTGACCTGTGGTGGGCCATATTATAAGTAGCAAGAGCTTAGGGGAGGAAGAAGACCCATTATTATGTGTGCCTTCAGCCTTTGAGCATGCCAAGTAAGACTAGGACCATGAGAAATAAGAAAGAGTCTTTATTGCGGTAATTTCTGATGCTCATTTTAGACTTCAAATGTAGGCTTCATGTGGAGCTGGCTATTCATACTATCCTATCAAGTTATAACCTATTCCTTAAGGCTCATGCAAAATATTTACTTATCTTCCATGTATATATGTTTGCCTACAACTGCTCAACTCTTCATTAAGATAAAAATTACATAAGCTTTACTAATTGGTGATGGGGATTATGTATGCATGCTTTCTTATAGAATATAAGTCACTACTGGTGTTGCATAGTAAAGAGATACTGCGCGGTTCATTTCTCTAAACTGTTTGCTACAACTTCCATAACCCTAATTCTAACATAGGAACCCTAGTCCGAGACTGTACACAGTGGCAACTATATGAAGTTTCTAAGGACTCATCCATTCTCATAGAGTTCCAGGAATACTCATCTTCTAGAAATAATTACTATCCCATGTATTTTCTTTTTTAAGAATTCCATACAGTGACTATGTTTGTAATGTACCCAAGAGATACATTTTCTCATTTGAGCAATATTGTCATTTTAAAAACCTACAAAAAGCACAACATGATTAAATTTTTCTGCTTGGAATTTAAATCTGTGATAAAGGATGTTATGTAGTAAATATAACCAACCATAAGGAAAATGGATAAAGGGACTGAGAAATAAGCTCAACATGCCATTGTTGTCGCTGTACCTGACTTGTAGAAGTTTGACTGGCTGAGGAGCTGGTAGTTGTGGTTACTTTATGGAAATCTGCTCATTGTCTGCATTTAATTAGTGTGGATTAAATGCCCATTGATTGGTGGTTCTGCCTTCCTTTTCCTGCCCCATGAGACTCCAGTTAATAAGAGTGTCAGTTACGTTCCTACAGCAGTGAGGAGGTACCATGAGCAGGGTAACTAATGGAAGAATTTACTGGGGCTTACAGTTCCATAGGGATAGATTCTGTGACTACCATGGCAGCAAGCAGGCAGGCATAGCAATGGTGCAGTCACTGAGATCTTCCCTATCCAGAAGTAGGAGGCAGAGAGAGAAAGAGAGGAGAAGGAGGAGAGAGAGAGAAAGAGAGAGAGAGAGAGAGAGAGAAAATATGAGAATGAATGAATTAGCAATGATGTGAGCTTTTGAAACTTCAAAGCTAACCTGCAATGAAACATTTCCCCCAATAAGGCCACACTTCCTAGTCCTCCTCAAACAGTTCCACACTAACTGATGACAAAATATTCAAGCATATTCACTTGCGGAGACCATTCTAACCCAAACCACTACACTGCCCAGTCAGATAGTTTCACTGATGTTTTTCTCTTGTAGTCTAATACTTTAAAGATATTCATTTTTTGCTATGTATTATGCATAAAAACTACATGTGGACACGAATTCAAAACATCTGTTGCCAGGATTCTTTTCCCTGTAGCTAGTCACTGTAAAGAGCCCTGCTCAAATGCTGTCCCTAAGCACTTTACAAATGTGACTTGACTTTTGGCTCCTAGCTACTTCATGGAACTTTTTGAATCCAGATTTCTGAAAATCTAGAGACCACCCTCAGAAGTGCTACAGTGTCTGGCTGCTTTTGCACATAAATTGGCAGGTGGAAACCAATTATTATCCCACTCGTGTAAGGCTGGCTCTTGCCAGGAAATTGTTCCAGATTGATAGGTACATTTTCCTTTTGATTTTGTAGTGGTGGAGAAAAACGGGAAAACGAGAGCTTTTAAATTCTGGAACGTGAAATTGCAGCTTATCATTCAGTTGTGTGTCATTAATGCTGTGCTGCTCTTTTCTTCTTTCTTGTAAACTTTGACTTCTTCTGTTAGTGAGTGTTAACTCAGACACTCCTGTCAGGAGCCTAGGGAAGTATTTTAAGTATGTCTGGAAAGATATCACAGTTGTCTGCATTGTCTACTGATATAAAAACCATGAACATACAGTAATTGTCTATAGGAACCTATTTTCTTTGCAGGAGAGGGTCTGCAAAATCTGTATATGACTGTCTACATACAGCCTTCGTTCTGGTACTAACACTGGGACAAGTTTGTGTATATTGGACACCCCATAAATTACACTGTCTCGTTAACATCCTTACTTTTTTAGTATATACATGTCTGCTCTGTGATTCCAAAATGACAAAATTGCCTGAATGACATATCTCTTACAATGTGTCCCATCCTAAGAGACACATGACTATATAAATTTTGAATTCATGATAATTTCTTTAAACAAAGCACAAAACTTTTATAATGTATTTTACCATTATTATTCCTCCAGTTTTCCTTTCAGATAAAGACATGATGCCAATGAATGTATACTTAGAACAGCTTTATTGCACATGCCATAAAAGAATTGTGTTCGAAGGGTAAATGACAAGTGGGCTTAGAATGCTTCTTCGCAAACAGTGTCTCCTTGTCTTGTAACTGTCGCTGTCTTGTTTCCTCTTTAGCCCCCCATGCTGGAGTCAGCCCCGCGGAATACTATCACCAGATGGCTCTGCTAACAGGCCAGCGCAGCCCTTATGCAGACATCCTTCCCTCGGCTGCCACGGCTGGTGCAGGGGCCATCCATATGGAGTACCTTCATGCCATGGACAGTAAGTGGCAAGGCTGGTTGCCGGAGTGCTGGGAGAGTAGCAAAAGCTAACTAGGACATGGAGAGAGCGCTGCAAAGGTTAGGTGATAGGCTAAATTTCCAATGCAAAGTAAGATCACACAGATGGAGCCAGCCTGAGATGACCTGTTGCCTCCTGGTGAACTGAAATGTGCAGAGAGTTGTAGTTTGGCAGCAATACTAGAAATGTAACTAATCAACGAATTATCCTCTTCTGCTTCTTGTGATATGAAAAGAAAGGAACAGATTCCTGTTGGACTTTGCATGGCCACTTCATGGATTTTTTATCCTTTAGAAATTAGGCATTTAAAAAAAATCAAGAAACTATAAGATATCATTTACTTTCATTGTATACTCTTATAGTAAAATACTGTGTTTCATGAAGACCCTTTGCAGGTGCTAAGAACACGGGAGGTTCATAATAGTTATAGTTAGTGAGGGGAAAGCCCAGAAACATTTCCATTAGTACTGGGCAGTGAAGGAAAGAAGATTATGTAAGTTGCGTATCACTTGGGGCATGAGGGTGTCTAGTGGTACATTAGGATTCCTTTGGGTCACAGTGGGTCTCTGATAGGGCTTTTTAGAGCATTTCAAAACTCTCATCTCTGAAAGGACCTGGTCAGTAAATATCCTTTGGCAGGATCTTGAGGAGTGAGGCTAAAGCCCAGCCATGCTGACAAGTGGGCAGTGTATGGTTTTGGTTTGGTTTGGTCGTTTGATTTTTAGCAGTGTGCTTAACCCTTGCCTTTCAAGCTAGACTCTGTTTAGAGTTATTCTTGGCAGAGATGTGCTTCTGTTAATCTAGACCTCAAATTTGGGGGAAAGGGAGGATGATGGATGGTTGGTCCACATAGAAATAAAATTGACAGTCTGAGTCTACTAATCACCCAGGACCACCTTGGTGTATTCTGAAGGAGTGTGGGCTGGTGCTGGCCTCTGTTTGGGCAGCTTGTTACAACACACCAAGTAAAAGAACTGCATTGCACCCTTTGTGGGGGTTTTCTTGTTAGAATCAGTAGCATAAAGAGCTTAAGTTTCAGATTCATCATAACCACATTTCAATTAGCAATTGTTTGGGGGAAAACAGTTCACCGTTATTATGCAAATTAGTTATTTAAAAATCTGCAAATAAAGAATTAAAATAAGAGAGACTCCTTGGAAGGTCAGCCTGCATTACTCTCCCTATTTGATAGGAATATGTTTAGTCAGGCAGTGGCTTTTTTTTTTCCTTTTTTTTTTATCTAAATAAAGGATGAAGCTACCCTTTTACTTTGTAAAACCTAATTAAAGGAATTTTAATTTGCCAGAGTATATGGTAAATTGACTGTCATTAAGTAGGAATTTAGATATCCTATCATTCATCACATGAAAAGAAAGCTCCTCTTTCTTTGTCAGAAATTTTTATTAAAACGGAGAAACAAAAACAATTAACAGAAACTAGGTTGGAACTCCCTGTGCTGGAGCAGTAGGAAGGCCCTGTAGCTAGGCTTGTAACTCAGTGGTAGAGTGCTCACCTAGCACATAAAAGGCTTTTCATTCAGTTTCTACCTCTGCCAGATTGGTGGAAGCACATAGTGTGACCCATGAGGGATGACTTTGACATGGAGGCGAGAATACATCCTGTGACATATTAGACTAAGCTGCTATATTCATAGCTCTGATAGTTCCTGAGATTGAGGGACCTTGAGCCAGTAATTCCTTTATGAAACATCCTGGGGGCTGAGGGAGAGCAAGGAAGTCTGGAGTTCATGCTATACATATGAGCAGAAACTGACTTAACCCAGTGCTCTTCTCAGAGAGAGGCAGTAAGGACATTTTCCAGTCAGTCTTCCGTGATCTGAAGAATTTGATGAGAAGGTTTTGTCAGACTTCTGGCCCCTGACTTTGAGTGACATATGGTATATTTAAGGCTTTCTATGTCTCATGATATTACATCACCTCCCGCATCACTGCTGGTTAGTGAGTGCTAGCATTTAGAAGGCTAGGGTCAATCCTGAGCATCCTACGAAAATCAGACATGGCAGGAGTGAATAAAGAATGTCTAGGTTATCTTGGTTCTTCTGAGTCCTACCAAAAATGGTTAGTGTTAAGGGTTATGTGAAAACTAAAAGTAAGTCTGGTCTGTCAGTCCAATTGTCTGAAAATGACAGGCATTTTTTCATTAAAATCTCTTATGATGCAATTAGCTTATTGCAGTAAATGTAAAATAGTTACATTCAAGGACAGGGTATAATAAAAACGAGATACCCCTTGCATACTGGACGTGTACGCAGAGCCAGAATTACTGTTCTGTGCTTACATGCCCTGAATCTGCTGGTGATAAAGCTGTTCTAAATGAGAGAACCCATTTTCAATGTGACTGAAAGAAACAATTGAGAAGGCACCATGCTCGTCATTCAGAGTGGTGGGATGGGGTTACACGTGGATGTTGCTACCACATGATGGTACTCTTCATGGTTGTGAGACTAACTGGAGAACCTTCCGTACTCATTTTTTCTGTTTCAGTACATTTATCTCAGCACAGCGAGTTGTTATCTTGTCTGAGGTCGTTGTGGTGACAGAAACTTTTCCAGTTCCAGTAATTGAGAGGCAGAGTTAGGCAGGATTGTCAGTTTAAGGCCAATGGCATACCACCCAACCACTCCCCAACACACCATACCCTTGTTATTTTCTGAATGAGGCAAAATAGCCACGTCCCTGTAAGCAGTCATAGCAACCTGTGGAATATAAAATCTTCTGTTTGTACTTAATATTATTTATAGTTGATTTGCTTCTTATCTGGCAGGATAACCTCATTCTCTCATTAAACTTTAGCTTTATGACTGACTTATAAATTACTCTTCAAAAGGCAGACATGGACAAGTGGTTAGCATTCACTGCTATGACCTAAGACTAAGATCTTGATGTCTAACAAATTTGAATGCAGATAATATTTAACTTTAACCCTCCAGTTAAAAACCACCATATCAAGTGGGCATGTGTTTAAATTGAGATACTAAGCTCCAAGTTAAGAGACTTATAGACTGAAACTTAAAGACTGTCAGTTCTTTAATGGAGACGATAGGTCCATCTCAATATCTTTAGGCATATCAGATCTCATTCACATCCTTACAGGGTTTATAAACTACCACCATCAAAGACATAGACTATATATGTTTAGATGAGGAGGCCTTTAGGACAGGAACCCTTCATCCTGATAACACCAAGCTCAAGGCTCTATAAGGCAGGATACTTTCTGCATCATAGAGGTTTGACAGTGTCTGGCCTATTCCCACTAGATGTTCGTAGCACACTCGGATGTCAGACACCTCCTGGGGTACAGAATCACCCTAAATTGAGTATGACTGGCTCAGGGTAATGCATTTATAAGTTGCTCTAGTGATGCTGTATGTTTACCAGGGAGCATTTAACTGCAGGATTCATGAGAAAGGCGGGATAACACCCAGTTCTTTATTTTAGCATGCTTTATAATTCATTTTTTTGTCATTCAATTCACTGCCTTAAAATGGTGTGTGTTAGAGTAGAGAGGGCATTGTGTTGCAGCTGTGGGAACCTCTGTCTTTGTTGCTTGTGGTGAATTAATGATGGGAATATCTAAGCAGCTGTCAGATTCATAAATCATTAGAAATAAGAAGGATAACACATAAAAGTCTCTCCCTTTTGTTGAGCAATTTATCATTTTGCCTGCACATTAATAAACAGCACTCCACTGAGGTAAGGCCCTGGAAGATAAATATTTTGCCCTAATTTCTTCAATTGTAGCCAGTAGATCACAAGAGGGAGGAGAGACGCTTGTCACACAAGTTGCCAACTTCTTGTCCCTCTCTTTTCTCACCAAGAAGTGACAGTCAATGGCATATAGATTCTGGCTGTAGGTAATCAAGTTCTGTTTTGTTTCTGTAACAGGCACCAGATTTCCCAGCCCTAGGCTGTCAGCTAGGCCCAGCCGAAAGCGTACACTGTCGATATCACCACTGTCAGATCATAGCTTCGACCTTCAGACCATGATAAGAACATCTCCTAACTCCTTGGTCACAATCCTCAATAATTCCCGTAGCAGCTCTTCAGCAAGTGGTTCCTATGGGCACTTATCGGCAAGTGCAATCAGGTACGCATTTTCCTGAATCCATTATGTGTCTTTATAATAAAATGACAGTGCTCATACGAACTAGTAATCCATTTGTAATGCCAGTTGTCTGAGAGGAAGAGTTAGCAGGCTGCTGTATACATACTAGGGTTCGGGTTAAATATCACAACAATGAGCCAAAGTTAATTTGTATGCATTGTTCAATAGTTGTTATATGACAGTTATTCAGTTTCAATGAGATATCTTCTTAGAGTTGGAGAATTTTAAATCTTTTATCCAGTTCTTCTGTTACAAATATTTCTGTAGAATAAAAACTAACTCTGCTTGGTTACCCAGTATGAAGGAGAGTTTGGGAGTACCTACCTAGCCAATCACTGGTGAGTTAACAGGAAATCTATCGAAAACATATTTCTTATTTTTTCAATTATACATTTCCAGCTTACCTTTAAAGACAAAATCTTTGATTGTTTTTTCTATATACTGAGGTAATTTTTGAAGAATGTAAGATGCTATTGCTAATGATCAGATTTGGGCTTTCATCTCTGACTATGAAAGGAATATAAAGAAGCCATGCTAAGAATTTGTGAGATACTCATGCTGCTGCTGTCAGCTGATCACTTCCCCTTAGCTGTGCTAGTTAACAGAATTAAACAGCATCCTAGCAAATAGTTAAGTAAAACGATCCTGGTTATAATGTTCAGCTCTCATTTTCATTCTACTTCTCACCATGGACTCAGAATTCCATTCCCAGTAATATTTGCGTTACAGCTCTTCAAACTGAGGAATATCCCTCATTCTGAGAGTCATCGTAGTAAAGCTGGCATGAAGACAGAGCATTGGGAAGTAAAGACGGGCATCAGGAACTCAAGGCCAGCTATTGCTGCGCAGTGACTTGATCAGCTTCGGCTGCTTGACATCCTGTCAAAAACCAAACAAAATAAAATCCCAGGAAAACACAATAAATAAATGGAACATATGATCAAATCACTATTTTCACTAGCCTTGCCTTTAATAAGTAAGAATGTATTTTATTATTTTTTTTATAAATGGGCAAGAGCTCTAGTTATTAATTGATGAATCTTTCATGGTGACTTTAGATGTTTGGGACACTTCAACAGTTTAGAAAAATACACATAAATAATACTACTGTCTCCATGTTTATTAAGAATAACGAATACCGTTGTTCCACTAAAACAATTTTGCAATTGCAATTTTTCAGTGCAATTTTGATTTTTTTTTACATTCAATTATCAGAATTTCTAATTGGCAGGCAAGTTAGTATTATTACAATAAATCATGATTTTCATTTTCTTCTGTTCTTTCATATGGCTGATAAGAAATGGAAATAAGGAATAAAGCAAATACCTGCTTATATGACTATATTGTCTACACATAATATAGGGTTTGGAGTGTCTCAAGGTTAGCCAATGTAATCAGTACCTAGAAATGGGTCTACGGTGTCTCCGGATTCACTACTATAGTCACAAATGTAGGCTTCAGGTGTCTGCCTGTAGTCAGATGCCACTTGTGACCCTAATTTGCATATTTAACAGCTGCAGGAAAGATATCAGTATGTTGGAAAGGGCCATGTTTTATTAAGTTGATCTGGATCAAGAGTGGTACAAAATTTCTTCCTCATTGGGTTAAGTTTTAAGAGAAATGGTAACTCAAAGAGATAATAGCACTGGCCCGGCCGTGCTACATCAGTGATATTTCAGGCTGTTATTCTCTAACCCAGCAGCTTGTTTCTGTTCTCCTGGCATGTGCTCTTAGCTCATCTGCTACCATAAACTATATCTTAATTTGCTGAGATTTTACAATTTTGTAACTTGACTAGAACATCCATGTAGAAATGTCACATACTGTGATATATACACAAATGATAGTTACACATGCCACTTTGTGGCTTTTGTGGAGAGGAGGTAGTTCTAGAGATTGAAACCAGGACCTTGCTAAGCTAGGCAGAAGCACTACTACTGAGCTACACCTTTAGCTGCAGAATTGCTTTGTGAACAGTTCTCCTTCTCTTATTTATTGTTATTTGTTTGCTTTACTCTTTACAGTTTCTTATAATTCAGGTTAGAATATGCCACATAAATTTCCAGGTAATATCATTTATTCTTATCTAGCATCTTTATGATTCCCTACAGTTGCTCTGAGATGGAGATAGCACACTTCAGAGACCATTGGTGTCTTGACTTAAAATTATCATTTCATTAAAAGTGGAAGAAGAGATTCACTTTAAAGATCAGTGCGGTCTCAAAAGATCCTGTGATGTTCAGGTGACCTGGGACTATCTCATACTCATTTTCTTTATTTCCTTGAGTATTTTCATGCATATACTCTCTGTCAATGGGTCATATTAGTCTGATACACATTCATAGTATGCTAAGAACATATGTCACTTTGTTTTACATAGAAGGTAATCCAATATGTGATGAGCTTCCATGTATTATTATAATGCAATAAATATACTAATGTCATCTCCACTTGCTAGAGAAACTTTGGTACATTGTTGTCCCCAGACTTAAATAGACCAGCTCAGCAATCATCAAATACGGACCAGAAATGGCAGGGAAAGGATTCATGTGAATACCCTGAGGGCAGATGCTGATCTGAAGAATGAACAGTGCAAGAAAAACTGAGCAGGAAGTAAATTTGATGTCCAAGTTGAACTGGATGAGAGGACAGGCACATGGAAGGAGGAAGCTAGCCAGTTTACTGTGCTTGGTGATCATCAGTGCCACCAGCTTTCCAGTCCCCTGCTCACTACTTTACGTGAAAATACATCTGACTTTTACCCTCACCATTTGCAATGCCTACCTCACTGTTAATGTTGGCAGTGCATAGGTAATTGTACCCATTTAAGTTTGTAAGGATGTTGTTATACAATAATGTAGTCATTCTGGTTTCTGTTGCCATCCATTTTACTGAAGTAGAGTAGAGCACCAGACCTTTCCTTGTATGTCACTGCATCACCTTTTTCCTCTACCATGGATACAGCACCACAAATAGTTATTGAATGGATAAATTAATGTTTTTCCTCCAAATGAACAATGAGAATATCTTTCATCTTTTTTCAGTGAGTAATTCTAGTTTTCGAGAATCTGAGATCTATTCCAATGTTAGTCTACATTTCCACAGATAGATACTTTTTATGTAGTAGCAGAGACAAGCTGATACCATATAAAAGGGTTAAGATAGCAAATGTCTGTTTTAGTATAATATCTTTATATTTTAAAATATTTACTTAATAATTCAGACTCCTTTAAAGTACCATATGAAACATCTACTCTGAAAAGCAATATCCAGAGTACTTGGGCCTATCAGACTAGGTATGTATCCCAAGTCCTCTTTTTATTCCAGAGCTGCTGTAACTCAAAATCTCACACTTATTATAAAATATTTCATTTAAAGACACTATAAGTTCTGCATCACTTGGAAGGTTCCCACTGAAGACGACAGCATCAAACAGCCTGTGGTCCTTGATCTACAGTTAACCCTAACATTATAAATAGCTCATGACTCATAATAGTAGGTTGTTCTGCTCTTATCTTCCCTAGATATTAAACCATCATAGGAAAAAAAAGGGATTTCAAAAGTTCCTTATCGATTTTCAAATGTAAATGGAACGGGGAAATGGTTAGAAAATGGATTCCCCGTAGATCAAGTATAGCTTTTTTATTACCGATTTAGTGGTAAAATGAAGATGTTTTCCTCATTGGCTGTTTAAGATCTGGCATGGTTAGGAAAATCATCTCGTGAAAATGATATTTCCTGTTCTGTGTTGCAAATCACCCAGTGAGTTACCCACCTCTCCAGCTGCACAGGCCTTGCAGGTTTTCTTTTGTCTGCACAGACAAGTGTGGCCTGGTGACTGTTGTGTTCTCGCCCTCTCTTTTTTTATGCCACCATCCTTCTCTGTGTAAGACTCTTGTGGAACAAGGAAGTATTTTCCAGGTCCATGCATGTTGCCTGATGGGAAGTAGGAACCAGTGTGTTCTACAGCTCTCTGGCTCTGTGCTGGTAATGGGACCAAATGTCTTGCTCATACTAAAGAAACAACATGTACACACACGTGAACTAAACATCCTGGAAATGGATGACTACAATGCCAGATTACCGGTATATTTAAAAATCTCTGATCCCATCTTCTAAAACTTTTTTCTCCTTAATATTAGTAAAGTAGTTAGTATCTTTTTAAAGATAACTTTCTTCAAATCATTCATTCCTTCAACATTTGAATGAGTTTAACTACAAGCTAGGTGCGAAGGCTTCACAGCGAGTAAATGAGCTTCTTACCTTCAGGGAACTTGCAGGAAGAAATGCCTCTAAGCAGACCTGAGTAACTGAGCAGCTGGTGGGACAAGCTCACTTGATTGCTGGTCATTGCTGCAGAGAAAATGACCCAGGTCGCAGAAAGCTGAGACCTGTAACATAACGGGAACCACCAAGGCAACTCTTCCTATGACAGTCTAAGAACAATGATAAACATGTAGATCTAATGACGGGAGGGGCAGGGCATCTGACGAAATGACACCAGAGGCCTAGAAGACATAAGCTACAGGCAGATGAGCTAGGGCACATGTTTGGGGACACTGACAGAGCTAGTTTATGCAATGTCTGTGACTGATGCCGTGGGAACAATGGAAAGCTTTGAAGAGGCTGTTTAACTCTTTGGCTGGGAAGGCATGCTCAGAGATGGACTGTCAAAGGCATGGAACCACCGCAGTGTCAGTCTGCTGGGTCCTTGGATCTTCCTTCTGTTCACCAGGTCCTGATCGTCAGGATGTACTTCCTCTGAAACCTTCGAGTGCCTGAAGCACAGCTAAAACAACACTGGGACGTACCACTCCCATGAGCTGATGCTCCTCATATGAACACGAGTTTCCTGACCATGTTTACATGCTCAGCCCATTCACTGCCTTGAAGGTCGTGAGCAACTCTTACCATACAGTGGGCCATTGCTATTCCTGTTCATGGCTGCTTAGTTTCCTACAACACATTCACAATAGAAAGCC